TCTCTCTCTCTCTCTCTCTCTCTCTCTCTCTCTCTCTCTCTCTCTCTCTCTCTCTCTCTCTAACCTCCTTTTTGCTGGGGTTTGCTCAAGTCCAGAGTCCTTTTATAGTCTCATTATTGGGAGATAAACCTCTGCTTGAGTTAGGACAAGAGATAGCGATGCAGCACAGAGGCCACAAAGAACGAGGTGCATTAGAGCTGCCTGCTGAGAAATGTTGCAATCATTGAGTTTGGATGTTTCAGGTCTCTAATTAATATCAAACAAGGATCTGCTATCGATTGTTGCAGAATATACACTGCTCAAAAAATAAAGGGAACACTTAAACAACGCACACTAACTCCCGATCTTAATCAATGAAATATTTGCATTGAGTACTTTGTTCTGTACAGAGTTGAATGTGCGTCACAAAAGTTTGATTTACTTGGACTTAGCGTGCGTTGTTTAAGTGTTCCCTTTATTTTTTTGAGCAGTGTATAAGCATGTTAGAATAATCTGAATAAGTTTTGATAAAGCATTTATATATTTCACATTTATTAACAAGTAATCAGCATTTAGTGTTGTAAATATACTTAACAATTTGTGTTATGGTGATTTTCCAGAAAGAAACTCCAAAAATTACTGAAATGAGGTAAAATTTTGAACAACAAACTAAATCCCGTAAACAAACTTGCAAATAAAAGCAAAACATTATTTCACCCTAGAACAAAAGCAACAATGTACTCAAGCTGTTCGACTCTGATGACCTAATAAACCAACTTATTAGACTGATGGTTACATCTTACATTATCACATTGTCCTCAAAGAAATGCTGAAGTCATTTTTTTTTCAAGGTTATCAGCAATACTTCAAAAGTCATATGGTACAATCTTTGGTAAAAAAAAATTGTTTTCTTGAAAAAACTTGAAAAAAGATGATTATTTTAAGGTGTCTGTGAGTGGCTTAAAATAAGTCTCATTTCATCCCATTAATAGAGGCAAAGAAGTGTAGAGACATAAGAATCTGTACTAAAAACTAAAACTAAAGTCAAGTACAAGTTTTATTAGTGCTGATCAGCTTTAGGGCATTTACCGAAACCACTGTCTTCTGTCTTTGACCTGTCAGATTTTTAACACTTCTTTGGCTGAGCCGATTCCACCAGGGTATGAAGATATTCCAGACATTGTGCCCCCATACAGCGCTTTCTCTGCCAAAGGACAACCTGAGGTACAGCTTCCAGCAAACGTGCAGCATCGTCGAAAAGTAGAACCGTGCGTTTACTAAAGGTGCTTCCTTGGTTGTCTTTGTGCAGGGGGATTTGGTTTATGTGAACTACGGTCGAACAGAAGACTTCTTCCAGTTAGAGAGGGAGATGAACGTCACTGTGACGGGGAAGATCGTCATTGTCAGATACGGGAAAGTATTTCGGGGTAATAAAGTAAGCAAAGCTCTGATTCTTACACCACACTGTGATTTTTTTATCTATTACTTAATACACTTGATGAGTTCAGTCATCCCTGTTTGACTCTGACAGAGATAAATATAATTTAGCTTAGCGTGAACACCACCCACAGCTCTAATTTACGCTCTATCCAAAACGCAGGTGAAAAACGCCATGTTAGCTGGAGCAAAAGGGATCATTATGTTCTCAGATCCAGCTGATTACTGGGCGGATGGAGTCCAGGTGAGACTTTAAAAGCTCCGAGTCTACAAAGTAAAATGAAAACATCAGCCACACTGTAAAACATGAAATGTTGGATTTACTTAACCATGTTATGTTACCTGGTTCCACTTAACTGAGTTGAGTAAATTCAAAGCAGCAAACTCGTGTTCTTTGGTTAAAAAAACTGGTATATTGCTTTGAATTTACTCAACTCAGTTAAGTGGAACCAGGTAACACAACATGGTTAAGTTAATCCAACATTTCATTTTTTAAAGCGCAGAAATTTAGACACTAGCCTCATTTATTTTCCCTCAAAAGATAAGATCAGGACAGAAAACAATGGAAGATTTAAGACGAGTTAAATGTGCTTGTGTTCAGCCGTACCCTAAGGGCTGGAACCTGCCTGGAGGAGGAGTTCAGAGAGGAAATGTTCTGAACCTGAATGGAGCAGGAGACCCCCTTACACCTGGATACCCTGCTAAAGGTGTGTTGTATGTGTGTGTCTGTGTGTAGCCTGTGTGACAACACAATAAGCTGCAGAGAGGTCTTTTTTTTCCAGAATACACCTATAGATTCAGCCCAGAAAAAGGAGTGGGACTTCCCAGCATCCCTGTGCACCCGATTGGCTTCCACGATGCAATTCATCTGCTGAAGTACAACTGCTTCAATTTCTGATTTATCTTTTCGTGTAGCTGTGCTAATTTTTATTAGCTTAGCATGAAAAATGTAGAAAGGTGTTTTAAATTGATGTGCATGGTTTTTGTGCCTTCAACAGGAACATGGGAGGACAGATTCCACCCAACAACTGGAAAGGAGCACTGAATGTCTCCTACAGGATCGGCCCAGGCTTCACTGAGAGCTTTAAGAGCCAGTAAGAGCTCCTCTGAACTCGTCACTCTGCACGGCGTTAAAGTGGCCACTTGTATCCTCTTCATGCTGCCATTATGAGATTCTCACATCCTGCTTCTTAGCTTCCCCCCTCACTTATTTCCTCTCATCATATTATTGTGTTTCTGCCACTTCACTCTGTTTTAGGTACCCTCACAACCCCCTTTTTGTTGCTCTTGCTCCAAAAGTATGAGCTGGAGTGGCAAAGAGCCAAAATGAGGAACAATGAGGGCTCTTCTGTTTTGTGGCACGCATTCATGTTCACATTACTGTAACCTTGTATGGAAACATGTGACTCAATCAACACCCCCAGGAGCACTAGAAGCAACTTTTTTACCGACATTTTACTTGTGTGAAGAGCTGAATTCATGTTAGATGCTGCAGACTGAGTGTGTTGATTTTCTTTTATCTGCATGACCATTCTCACTCTGATGTTGTGCTCTGTAGCTTTTGTGTATCTCTTTATTGGCATGTGTATCATTTATTTTGTTTCTGTATGTTGCAGCAAAGTGCGTATGAACATCCACACTAATAACCAGGTCACCAGGGTCTATAACGTCATTGGAAAGATCAGGGGAGCTCTGGAGCCAGGTACTGACTAAAAACCAAAACATGCAACAGAAAACCAAAACCTTTCCTGTATAGATATGAGTGTTAGAATAAATGTGATGTTTGTTTGAATGCTTCCGGACTATCAAAGAGTAAAAACCAGATTCTGAGCTGTTTGTTTTCTGGTTTTCTCTTGCTTTGTGTTGTTGGTGGGTTTGTGTAGACAGATATGTGATTCTGGGAGGTCACCGTGATGCCTGGGTGTTTGGAGGAATTGACCCCATGTCTGGAGCTGCAGTGGTTCATGAAACCGTGCGAAGCGCCGGCAGGCTGCTTAGAAAAGGTACAATTCTGCAAGTTAGTAAATGAATCAACATGTGCGTGCTTTAAAGTGGACGTCTCGCAAAATCCACCTTTTTTAGCCATTAAATACAGTTTGTTGTGTACTTGGAGTTTCTAGGAGTTCAGAAAATTTGAATTTAGTCTCTCCCTGTGCTAAGTCACCGAATTTGTAACAGAACAGCACAAGGTCTGGACTTACCAACTACAATTCTGTCGTCTCTGTTCTCCTCTGACTCTGGGTCAGACTCTGGCTCCAACTGGATGGACAAGTCCTCCCTTGTTGACATCTTTTAATTTGTAAATAAAAGGTTTCTGCACCGCTATATAGTTGTAAACCCCCCTATCAAACTAGAATAGACCGCTCTGGAAGCAAGAGAGGGGCGGGGTGTGAAGCGCCTCATTCGGATTTAAAGAGGCAGCATCAAAACGAGTTGATTCGAGACACACCTGGGGTGAAAGAGGGGCTTGTGGAGTTACAATAATGAGAAATTCAGACCATAGCATTGCAGTTCCACTTGGACCCCAGCTGAATGATTTAAATGTGAAAAAGAAGAATTTCAAAGCACAATATATCTCTTTTAAACTCTCCTCGTTGTGTATTCCTGTGTAGGATGGAGACCGAGGAGGACTATAATATTTGCCTCCTGGGATGCAGAAGAGTTCGGCCTGCTGGGATCTACAGAATGGGCAGAGGTACTATATATATGAACATACAGATATCTGCTCACTGAAGGACACACATCTTCACTACATTTCATTCTCTCCAACAGGATAACGCCAGGCTGCTGCAGGAGAGAGCTGTGGCTTACATCAACGCAGACTCTGCCATAGAGGGTGAGCATTAATGTCCTTTCAGTAAAACAAAACAATGAAAAACAGTAATGAAGTTGGGGTTGGTTTTTATTGGTCACATATGAGAAAGTAAGCATGTCTTTAAACCACAGGGATGTACACTCTGAGGGTTGACTGCACTCCATCTCTGCACACCGTAGTGTACGACCTCACCAAGCAGGTGAATAACCTGAAACTGATTTATACATACACTGAATAACTTATCCAGTATTTTGTTATTCTATTAATCATTTCCTTATTTATTTATTTATTTATTTTTTTATTTTTTTTTTTGTTTATTTTTTTTTTTTTTTTTTTTTTTTTGTCTCTATTTTTCCTTTCCTTGTTTCTGTATAGATAGCCAGTCCAGAGGAAGGAGAGGAGGGAGTTTCTCTCTATGAGAGTTGGCACAAGAGGGACAACTGGACCAATGATCGAGATGCACCCAGGTAATTAAACCTATGGGAACAAAATAACAAAAATACTGAGTTTGTGGAGAACAGAATGTTTTGCTGTTTGTTCTAAAAGTCTTAAAGTAACTAAAGCTACAAATGAATCATTCTTTACTGTAGCAATAGCTTTTAAAAAGGGTTGCAGGATCTTAATGTAAGTTTTTACATTTTGTTTTCATTACAATCCTTCAATATGATAAAACTAGGCAAATGAATTAAAAATAAAAGCCAAAACATGTAATTTAATTACTCAGATTCTTCACACACATGAGGTGTGGAAAACTAAAAAGATTATGAATAATTATGGAAACTAAGAGATATTTTTGTGTATTTTCTTTTTGACTAATGGATTCAGAACAAGATTTTAACATAATCATGTTATCTTTTGTGGCTCATTGTTTACCAAGAAATGTCTGTAAAAAATAACTACATGAGTGTAACATGAGGTTTGATACAGGATCAGTAAACTTGGATCAGGCAGTGATTTCGAAGCATATTTCATCAGACTGGGAATTGCAGCAGGCCGAGCCAGATACACCAAGAATAAGGTGAGAAATGTCATATATCACAAAATTTGTAGCAATGTTATGGTATGTTTATATAGTATAACTGATATATTCAAAATGTCAGCCTGTTTCTGAGAATATACTCATTTGGTTTTATTTACCAAGATCTTTATTGTCCTCTTAAAGTAGTTTTATTTGGTACAATTTTCAGTGTCGTTTCTGTGAATTTAAATGGATGTAGGCTCTAAAAACAAAGAGTTTGTTGTGTCTAAATGGCTCAAACCAATGTGTCTTTCTCAAGTTCTACAGTGACTTGCATCTTAAGCAAAGCACTGAGTCAGAGGAAAAGTTTAAAATGGATTTTCCTGGACTAGACTGTGATCTGTGTCCTTTCAGAAAACAGAGCGATACAGCAGCTACCCAGTCTATCACAGCGTGTATGAAACCTTCGAGCTCGTGCAGAAGTTTTACGACCCGACCTTCAAAAGGCTCCGAGTGGTGGCTCAGGTCAGGGCAGGACTCGTCTTCTTGTTGGCGGACTCCCAGCTGCTTCCTCTCGATGTCAACGAGTACGCAGACTCGCTGAGGAAATACGCACAGAGCATCGCAGAGGTGGCACAGAGGAACCCTGATCAAATGGAGATGTACAACGTGTCGTTTGGTGAGTTGACACTGAGTATCACTACTTTTAGCAGTGATACTGGTGTAGCACAAATATATGTGATTTTGTAAGTAGTGCTTGTGTATATTATTGAGCACAAAATACACATTTTTCCCCTAGATTCCCTTTTTTCTGCCGTGCAGAACTTCACCTCCGCGGCCAGAGATTTCAATGAACGCCTACAAACTGTCAACAGAGAAGAGTGAGAGAGCATTTACATGTTACACATCTCTGGTTATCTCTGGTTCATGCTAAATGCTCAAGTGTTCATAATTCCTGAAACTTGTGTTGAGTTTTACAGCGTGAGGTCTAACAGTACTTAATGTGTTTGTGTGTGAATCAGTCCTTTACAAGTACGAATCATGAATGATCAACTCATGTACCTCGAGAGAGCTTTTATTGACCCTCTTGGCTTACCTGGAAGACCCTTTTATAGGTAAGTCACTCTCAAACACAAAAACACACACAAACATGACGACTCAGTGGTTAGCACTGATGCCTCACAGCAAGAATGTCCTGGGTTTGGGCCCAGGGTCTTTCTGTGTGGCGTTTGCATGTTCTCCTTGTGTTTACATGGGTTTCATCTGGGTACTTTGTTTTCTCCCCACAGACCAAAAACATGTACATTAGGTTGCCTTCAGGCCTCCATTGCAAAACAGATTTGCAATCTCAATGGGATTTGCCTGGTTAAATGATAAACACACACATCCTTATTAGAATCGTATGTTGACCTCAGTTTATTTCTGTAGCCTAAACTTGACCCACCACCCATATCACAGCATATAACTAACCCTAACCCCTCAATTCATACTTTAGTCCTAAACTTAACCCCTAAACCAAAAACGGTGTTCCACCATACCGGGACCGGTCTTTGGTCTCCAAAAGGACTGGCAGTTCACCTACCAGCAGTCCAGGACTGCTGGTGGAAAAGGTAACATAAAATAGGTACACACGCACAAATCCTACTTATTTTAAATAGCTGATACAAATTTCATCAGCTTTTGGCTTTTATGATCATAGAGTACTTTTAGTTAAAATTGGGTGTTTTGATTGATCATTTTGTGCTCAGTAAAAATGCAACCCCAAGTACATTATTAGCTCATTTATAAATTAAAGTTTTAGAAATTAATTGTGTAATAACAATTACATGTGCAGTTTTACAATGTTTTTCAAAATAAAGTTGATGCACACACTGATGGTCTGTATTATTACTGTAAAAAAAACTTGACATGGTTTTCTGCAACTCAGGACATAAAACAAAAAAAAGGCATAACACAACATTAAATTAAAGTGGGATTTCAGGAATGAAGTTAGAGATTAGAGTTTGAACGTTTTCAGGACATTTTTTTTCTTACCTACTTCGAGATTCTTTTAACCACACAAACACTTTGTAGCGAACATCTCCAGAACATTCTGTAATGAACACTTCCTCTTGTCTCTCTGTTGCAGACACGTGATTTTTGCTCCCAGCAGTCATAACAAATACGCAGGCGAGTCTTTCCCCGGGATCTACGATGCGCTGTTTGACATTGAGAACTCAGCTGATCCACAGACGGCCTGGCAGGAAGTCAAGAGGCAAATTAGCATAGCAGCTTTTACAGTGCACGCTGCTGCCATGACGCTGACGCCGCCTGCATGAAACAAACTGAAGCGATGACTTCTGTTTATAACTGCAGGGTGGAGGTGGGGTTCTTCCAGACCTCAGTGAGTACTGATGGATTTGTCCTCACCAGCAAAAATAGATCTGTAAATATTAAAGAATCTCTTTTTACCATAAAAACATGTATATCTGCTGTGGTTATGTATGAAGGAGCGTTATATGGTAACAAAAACTGAAACACAAAAATTGTAAAGTAATAAAGGAAATAACAGGCAGAAGTTAACACACTCTGGTTCACTAAGTGATAAAAAAAATGTGAAAACAGAGTAATTTGAAGTTAATTCTCATTTATTTATTTAGTTTTCTGTGTTCTTGAATGCTTCTAACGTCTTTCTGATTAAGCTGATAATGGTGGTCAGAAATGTGATGTGACAGAAGTTTTGGAGATTTAGTGTTCCCAAACACTAATCTTAACCCTCTTAGTAAAAACTATGACCAGTTTAGTAGTCAGACTCAGACAGGACAACTAAATGCAAAGCTTCACTGCAGCAACGTTTATTAATTATCCTTAAAGCCACAGGATGATTCAGGTGTCACAGTCATAGATTGTTTTTTTTTCACAGATAATAAATAAAATGAGTCGAAGAGAAAAATGAGAAGTCTCTGATATTCTGCAGAAGATTGATCTCTTCTGTTCAGATGTGATCATTCAGCTCTCTTTAAAACTAACTCCATTTCTGAAGCCACGGCCTCGACCACACTTTTGTTCACAGCTTGATGCAGTAATGAAAAACATATTATTTTTCTTAATCGTAAATATTTTTATTTGTTTTAATTTGAAAATAACTCCTTTTAATATTTGCTTGACTTTAATTATTTTACATTCTAAAACTTTCTTATGGCGGTGAAGTGGATGGAGCTGTTGCCAGCTCCCTGCAACCCAGTAAGAAGTGGGTCAAGATAACAAATGGATGAAACTTTGTCTGTTTCCCCAAAAATAAATCAATAAAAGAACACTTTCAAACAACTTTATATATTTTTACTACCACAGGAGGGCACTGAAGTCCTGTACTTTAGACCCAGTCTGTCTTGATAGATGTTATCAACCCAAATAGCAGACAGACACGAGGACTTGAATAAAAATACTTTAAACTTTAATCAGACACAGTCCTAAAAAATGTTTTAATTCCCCTGACATTTATCAATAGATTTTACTCTACAATCAAGTCAAATATTTTTATTTGTATACCCAGTACTCCAATAACAGTAGTTTTCTGCAAATATGTTTATTTGTGAATCACAAAACAAATATATTTAAAATAAAATTAACTCCCTCCTCATGAACTTGATCTTCTGTTCAAACCCTCCACATGTCCCTCTCAGACATCATCTAATAGATATGAACAAAAGAAAAGATTAAATGTGGCTGCTGAGTTTAAAATAACCTCTTCCACATGAAATCTATTTAAAAAAACTTCAGTCTGGCAAATGTAGGTTTGTCCAGGTAAATTATTTTGCAGTAGCTTTTATTTGCATGGCTGTATGGGGATAGAGTTATTTTGCATAGATAAGATGATAACCTGACTTTCCAGTCAAACTTTCATCACTCTCATTTCCTGGAAAAAAAGAAAAAGAAAAATAAGATGATGACAAACTTTTCAAAAGGGATTTACTCCATGATTATGATGATGTCACTTGAACCATTTGTAAATGGGAGAAATGTAAATGTAATGAAGTTAGTGAGGATCAAACTAAAAAACAAATTTTCTTCTTTCTGACCCAAGGGTAGCAGTGTCTACTAGTGGTCTCTAGAACAATTAAAGGCCTCACTTTCCTTGAAGGAACACACATCACCTGCTGCCAATAGGCTGTAGCACAATCTTGAAATTTGGTGATCTCATGCTAACGGTTAACACTCAGAATATGTTGTGACTTCCAGCTGCTACTACATTAAAATCAGCTAAATATTTGTAAGATTAACTGAGTTAAGATCATTTTTATGTTGGCTAAGGTCAATTAGTTAATTCCAGCAGTTGATGGTTTTAAGCAGAAATCAATATAAAATGCTCAGAATGTATTGGAGCTGGTTCTCAGCTACCACTTCAAAGTTTTAACTAATTTCCATTAAACAGATTGAATTATAGTCATTTTTTCTGTTTTCTCAGCATTTCCTGAGAGTTTGAGTAAAATTGGCCCAATGGTATTTTGAAGAAAAAAAATAAAGATGCTTCAAGTTGTTCTGGAAAAGGTGTCACTATTTCTGAGATCAAATCTATAGTTTGACTCTGAAGTGAATATATTTCCACTGGATTAGCCTGGATGTTTGAGCTACTTATATTTGATCCAGTTGGATTCTGTTCAAGCATCCTGACCCCTAGAATGTTTTAATAGTTAACCTAAGTTGAGTTTATGTGATGATGTGTTTATGATTACTGATGACTCTACAAACTCTGTGAATGATTTTAAATGCTTTTGGCTGACTAAAACCACATAAGTTCCACTTAATCTCTGTGAAAAGTGTCAAATGTCAGAAACAGAGTAGACAACTTGTACAAACTGTCTTTTTTGTTAAACTGATTAAAACTTTGACTTGGCATTGACTTTATAAAGAAAACAATTTTAAAAAGCATCAGAACATTGCAATGATCTTTTTCTGTTTACAAGAACTTGTTCAGCTGGTGATTATTGTTGGTTTTCATTGACGAACTTGAAGTAATTCATGCGTGAATGTTCTGAAGTTAAAACTGTCTCCTGGGAAGTTCATTTTAAAATTAGTTTTCAGCAGGAACTCAGTTGTTCACTCTGAACATTTAGTATCTTTGAGTCTGTCCTTTTAAAAACAAAATGACTTGTTCTTCAGAAAAGCAAACACGGTGAATCCATTGGGTGTTTATTTGCATATCAAGAAAAACCAGTAAACATCTGCATAAAGTCCAGATCCCTGCTTTCTGCCTCCACTTCTTTTTTATTCACAAACAACAACGCTTCAGAGACTGGGTAAGTGGTTTTGGTCAGGAGGGTCTTTGGGGG